GTTAAAAAAAATACAAGAAAGTACGAACAAGCCCTTAAACTTCATGCTAACTAAAATAAGCCAGTTGCAAATGGACAAATATATTCCACTCATATAAAATCTTAGATTTATAGAGACAAAGTATGGTAGGCAGTAGGACTAGAGAGGGGACAGAAGAGGTAATTTTTAATGGGGCAGATTTCTAGAGTGGGAGGTGGAAAGTTCTATAGAAGGAAGGCAGTGATAGTTGCACAACGTTATATGAACATGAATGTGCTGCTTGATGTTGTGTGTGTGTGTGTGTGTGTGTGTAATATAATTACCCTGCATCTAATCTAATTTTTTTCTCACTACCTTATTTTTTTACAAAGTTAGAGAGGCTTATTAGTTGTATTAACTTATTATTTATTAGAAGGTCCTATTAGCTTTCATTATATTGCTCCAGATTTGGAGCATTGGTTTCAAGGACACTCAGGAGCAGGTATATGAATACAAAGCAAAGGGAAGCAAGAGCAAAGAAAATACACTCTCTAGATGACAGCCTGGGCAGGCACAAGGAGAATGCTAAACTGGAGTCCCCAAAACTCAAAAACTTTTATTAGGGTCTGTAGGCATGGTCGCCCTGGAAGCAGAATTCTGTGTCATTGACTCTCAAAAGACAGCTATGCATCTTCCACGTCTCCCACGCCTCGCAGGGAAGTTCCATGGTCAGGCCAGCGTTGTCATTTTCCCTGGGTGACAAAGGGTTTCAGGTCAACAAGACCTCCCTGTATGTCACACACATCTCAATAATAGCAAACCAGTATGTGATTACTCACCAACATCCAAGCCATTATCATAAGATCAGTTTCCTAACTCTACCACCAACTCCTATGCAAAAGAACACTAACGGAAGATAGCACCCATGTAAGTGCATAATGTATTTTCAGGTAGCCATATGTGACCAAGGTCTCTAGTTAGAGGTGAACAATCCTTTTAATACCACACACAGAGAAAAGGTTCTAAATATCATCTTCCAGCCATGGCAGCACATTCCTGTAATCCCCCCACCAGAAAGGCAGAGGCAAGAGGATCTTGAGTTTGAGGCAAGCCTGAACTGCATAGAGAGACCCTATTTCAAAAGAAAAAAATAATCACACACACACACACACACACACACACACAAGCAAAACCAAAGTCAAAACAATTGAAAGTGCTCTTGTAAGAAACTTCTGTGCTCAGGCAAGCAAATGTTTGTTGATTGTGCCTGGCACCAGTAGATGATGTCTGCAGTCACTGCAGTCACGTATTGGGTTTAGAAGTGTTTTGAAAGCAGGCCTTTAAAACTCGTTGGTAGATGGAGGAACCTCTGGGAAAGTTTTCTTTTACTAGGTATTTCAGGGTCCTATTGCTGTTCCAATAAATTACTGCAAGCCAGGTTGCTTCAAACAACATAATTTGATCATCTTACTATTCTGAAGGCCAGAGAAACTCTTGTGGGGGTATCTCCCTTTTGGAGGGTGGAGAGGGGCAGCCATTTTGTGACCTTTGCCAACTTCTAGGGGCTACCTGCATGCGTGGCCTGCAGCTCCTCCTTACACTTTACATGCTTAATACATTTCCAAGCCATATTCCTGTCACTCTGACTTCACACTCCTCCTCCTCCAACTCCTCTTCCTCCTCCTTTTCCTTCTTTTTTTCTTTCTTTTTCTTTTTTTTTTCTGGTCATGGGGCCTGAACTCTGGGCCTGGGCGCTGTCCCTCAGCTCTTCAGTTCAAGGCTAGTGCTCTACCACTTGAGCCATAGCGCCACTTCTGGCTTTTTCTGCTTATGTGGTGCTAAGGAATCAAACCCAGGGCCTCATGCATGCAAGGCAAGCATTCTACCACTGAGCCACCTTCCCAGCCCCCTTTTCTTTCCCTTAAGACTTGGTCTAAAGCTGGGTGCTGGTGGCTCACACCTGTAATCCTAGCTACTCAGAGGCTTAGATCTGAGGATTGAGGCTTAAAGCTAAACCAGGCAGGAAAGTCTGTGTGACTCTTATCTCCTATTAACAGCCAGGAAACTGGAAGTGACAATGTGGCTCAAAGTGGTAGAGCGCTGGTCTTGAAGCAAAAAGAGCTCTGGGACAGCACCCAGGCCCTGAGTTCAAGCCCAAGGACCAACAACAACAACAAAAACAGACAAGGTTCAACTGTGTAGGCAAGGCTGGCCATGCACTTGTGATCCTCCTACCTCAGTCTCTAAGTGCTGGGATTACAAGTATGTGCCACCACACTCGGCTCCTTCCTTCTTATAACAAACGCTTGTAATTATACTGGGTCCATCCACATAATCCCTCTCCCCATTTCAAGATTCCTAACTTAAAACTTTACACTACTAAATGACATGCTGATAGGTTTGGAGACATTAGGATGTGAAGATACCATTTAGAGGCCAGTATTCAGCCCACCACACTAGGAAATTAAGAAAAAGCAGAATAATGATCAGTCTACAGAGCAAGCAAAAATAACAGAAAATTATGGAAAGAATACATTTGGCATAAAATGCCTCAAGATTCAACATTTTGAATTCAACAAATATGTTTGAAGCATCTGCCACGTGCCAGGCCCTGTTCCAGGTGCTTGGGAGACCCAGGGATTAAAAGGCCAAAACCCTCCTCTCCTGGGGTTTTTGTTCATGGGATAAATAAGCATGAAGACTTGGGTGTGGCTCACATGGTGTGGCATTTGCCTAGCAAATGCAAGTCCCTGAGTTCAACCCTTTGTACCTCCAAATAAATGTGAATAAACAAGCACTTTAACAATGAGATGTAAGAAATGTAATGGGGGGGGGGGGCGAAAGAGGGTGGTGGCGAGGGCACTGCCCGCCTACTGACGCTAGGGGGAGCTGAAGTGCAGTTTTGGCGACTGACATTGGAAAGTCAAAAAAATCAGACTTAGCGTTTGGGAGCCAGAAGGAATTTTAGAGGTCATGTATTCTCACTTCTTCAGCTTATAGAAAGGAAATGAAGGCCCGAAAAGCCCACAGTGTGGTTGCTAGTTATTCTGTATTTGGCCTAAATCTCAGAGACAGTCTCTTCCTCTCTCCCGAAGGAGCCAGACACAACCACCACCCTTATCAAAGGCAGCGCTGCCCAGGAGGGCGGCTTGGAGGGTTTTGTATCATAGCAGCAGGAGGGAGGGATGATCTCAGAGCCAAGTTCTATCTGTGCCACTGTTTAAAAATCATTCCACAGAACTTCTAATAGGTCTCTTTCTGAGTGCAGGATTCTGAAGTCTTAAATCAGTGACTCCTGCTCGCTCAGCCTTTGAGACTCAACTTTGGTGAAAATAACCTACATTGGCCAGACACCAAAAGGAAGGAAAGAATAGATTCTGATAAAGAGCCTTTGGTGTTCTTACTGGAAGAATAAAGCAGCTTCATTTTCTTAATTGTTCTGCTCTTTAGGACTGGAAAGTTATTTGAATGTGTCAGGAAACCCATAGATATTTTTATCCATTATGTCCTTGGGTGTGCCTATTTGCCAATACAGAGGCCAGATATTCCTCAAGTTAATGATAAAAATTCTTTGAGCTGTATTCCAGGACAGTCCTTTCCTATGGAAAAGAGGAAACTCATTTCACCCAGGAGGCCTGTATTTGTTGAGAGCTATGTTGTTCTGAGATTGGAGTACAGGCCCTAGGATCCACCAGCAACACAGCATTTAAAAAAGCAGTTAGATCATCAACAGTCAGCTCCTAGATGAGTCTCTGATCTCCTCTGTGTTCTCTCTTCCAGTTCTACTTTTCCCTAAAGACTCACCCATTCAAATCTCCATCACCATCTCCTCTAAAAGTTACTCCCTGGGCCCTGTCCTCTTCTAGCAGAAGGAATTAAAATAAATATTCTATCAATCAATGTATTTAATCAAAGTTTCACCAGACTAGAGAGACTTCAGGAATGAAGATCCAAAGGACCCCCCCCCACACACACACACCAGTGTTTTGTGCTTGGACAGCCATGAGAAATATAATTGAACAAAATGATATGACCTAATGGTAATAGCCTGAGGCCTCCTGCAGGGCCTGTCAGCTCAAATTCTCCTAGGCCTATGTGGCTTTCTTCCTCCAGGGTGTAGGGCAGATTCTCCAGGAACGCAGGTCTCCAAGGGAGAAGGGAGAAAGTGACCGTTCTAGGTTTTGTGGCTTGTTTTGGAAGTAAGCTATGGTTAGTTTCTATGACCCTCTTTGGGGGAAGAGGAACTCTAGTTTTTGTGAGTCACATTAGGTGCGGACTAGAATAATCAGTAATTAAAGTGACATTCAAGACATTGTTCTGAACACCAAGACAATGGGAAAATTATCATGAACCAGGTATCAACATCCGAATTGAACAAAGGGTATTTCTGGGTTTTGCTTAGTCCCGGCTTCACGGTGGCGGGGCGGGGCACTGGCTGGGCCGAAGCAGGGGAGGCCTGGGGTGGGTGCGGTGTGGGGACTCAGGGAGGGGCTGAGCAGTCTGTCCTGCTGGACAGGGGTAGAATAACACCTCCGTCCTGCGGATACTCGCACCCACGCTCCCGCTCATCTGGACTTTGCCCAAGTGTGGCTGGCCCACCGGCGGGATGTAAAGGGCGGCCTGCCGCCGGGCTGAGCCCGCACGCCCGCCCGGGGAGCGGCCGGCGGCCGCTGACACTGGCACGCGCTTCGCAACGGGAGTCTGCATGGTCGTTCTCGGATAGCTAGCAAGCCATACCTCCAGTGAGGCTCACAACCGTTGTTTACCAATTGAACACAACGAAGAAATCCCTAGAAAACTGGCAGACCAAGTTCACTCAACAGGACAGAGGGAATCGGTGCCGTCCCCGGAGAGGCCGGGAGGGCGCGGAGAGCGCGTTCAGGGCGCCAGTCCGGTCCCCACGGGACGGGAACGGGCGTGGCTACGGGGCCTGGTGGGCGTGGCTACGGGTCTGGTGGGCGTGGGAAGCGGAGGCTCGCGACAGCGGGAGGGGCGGGGCTAAACTGCAACGGGGCGTGCAGGGGCGTGTCGGGGGCGTGTCGGGCAGTCGGGAAGATGGCGCAGCGTCTGTTGCGGAGGGCGGCGCGTGGAGCGGTGGCAGCGACGACGGCGCAGCCCCGGCTGTGAGTGCAGGTTCCCCCGGTCCCTGGGCTCCCGTCCCGGGCTCGCGAGGTTCAGCTTCCCGCCCGCCCCCCCCCTCCACCTCGGGCCCGAGCGGGGACCGGCGTGCGCCTGCCCCCTGCGGCGGAGGCCGGGCCTCGGGGCGGGAGGGCCCCGGCGTGGACTCGGAACGGGTGCAAACTAACACCGGGCGACCCGGGCCGGCCGGCCGGCCGGCCCCCCGGGGCGGCGCCGCGGGCCCTGATTGCAGGGGCTCTGGAGCTGGCCGCGGTGCTTGCCGCTCGGTCCGGGCTGCCAGCGCGTCCCACACGTTTGTTTAACGCGCCTCACAACTACCGAGGGTCCCGAGAAACTTCCGCTCGGTCTTGTGGCCAGTTGAACAGGGAAGAAGCGTGTCAGATCATTTACGAATAACAAGCCAGCCCTACGTGAACACAGATGACATGTTTAGTGAAAAATACACTCACTTTAAATATTTGAAAAAGGCCTGGAGCCCCTGGCTCACTCCTGTACTCTTATCCACTCTGGAGGCTGAGATCTGAGGATCACGGTTCAAAACCGGCCACGGAGGGGGGGGGGAGAGGGCGGGGGGGGGGAGGGCTGGGAATGTGTGTATGTGGGAAACAAAAACAAAACAAAAACAGCTGGAGCAGGAAAGTCCTTAAAACTCTTATCTCCAATTAACCAACAAACCTGGAAGTGGAGCTGTGGTAGAGTGCTAGTCTTGAGTACCAAAGCCCAGGCCCTGGGTTCAAGTCCCAGTACTGAGGAGACAGGAAACATGAGGGATTCATTTTATACTTTTCGATTCTTTTTTTATTTTTAATTTAAGAAAACCCAGCAAGAATAAAGCAATTCAAACCTCAGTATTGGGGGGGGGGTGAAGACACCTACAGTCCAATGGTAGGAACCCTCACAAGGGTCTCAGAGACCCACCAGTGCCCTCACCTTGAGAACCACAGGCCTAGCATTTGCTCATTTGCTAACTATTGGCACACACAGTATCATTTGTTTTCTCTGACCCTTGTGTGAAGAAGTAGGTAGTCATGTTTATGATGGCAGCGGAATCAAGAGACTAAGTGCCTCTCTCACAGCCCTCTGGCCAGTAGTGGCAGAGTTAAGTTCTTGGCTCCTTCAGATTCTGTGTCCTGTGAACAGTGACTATACTCCATCACTAACTCTGATACCTAACAGTGAGTGCATTCCATCACTGTCTCACCCAGTGCTCCGTGCTCCTCACTCACCTAGCACACATCCTCCATCTCAGCACACCTTAAACACGCCTTATCAAGGTCCTGAGCTTTGCAAAGCTTCATCATGGATCCTGGTGCCTTCACTGAACTCCAGCATGCATTTGTATCACCGCTCCCCATTGGAAAAAGTGTGTGTCCCAGAGGACTGTACTTATGTGCACTTGCTTCCCCTTTAGTCTTAAAGACTCCTCTCATTTCTAGCATTCCTTTTTTCTGCCTGTGAGAGTGAGGTGGTTTCAGGCATGGGCAATGCACTTAGATGCTCTGGTTTATTTTAAAGATTGCTATACTTGGGCTGGGAAAGTGGCTCAGTGGTAGAGCGCTTGCCTTGCATGCATGAGGCCCTGGGTTCAATTCCTCAGCACCACATAAGCAAAAAGAAAAAGCCGGAAGTGGTGCTGTGGCTCAAGTGGTGGAGTGCTAGCCTTGAGCTGAAGAGCTGAGGGACAGCACCCAGGCCCAGAGTTCAGGCCCCACGACCGGACCCCCCCCAAAAAAAGATTGCTTTACTTCCCAGATGTTTTTTTTTAATTGAAAATATTAAGTTTCACAATTTGACTAATGCACAATATTACATATCTACCATCAGCAGTAGTGTATCAAATCTTTAGTCCCTAGAAATCCTGTGGCACTCAACTATTCACCCATGCCCTCCTGCCTAGTCCTGGCCATTCCAGCCAGGTTATTCCCATGTCTGTAATTTGTTTTTTTCAGGGTGTCACATCACGGGAATCACACCATATGTAGTCTTTGTAGATTGGGTTCTTGGACTTAAAATATTCATGTGAAATTCCTTCATGTTTTTTTGTGGCTTGATGCCGTTCTTTTTTGTTGCTGAATATAAATGTACCACAGTTTATTATTGAAGGACATTTGGGTTGTTTCCATTTTGTTGTTTATGAATAAGCCTGATCTGTTTCTAATATATAGTATATATTATCACACAAGTTTTTGTTTTGGATATAAATTTTCAAATCAACTGGGTAAATATCTAGGAATACTGAATGTAATTATTGAATTGTTTGAAGTAATCTGTTCTCATCTTCTGCACATTTCTCAACTGAGTTGTGTGATGTCTATATATATATATATTTCAGTCCTTGTCTATAGGTAGGAATCCATTATCTTATTCCTAAGCTGTTTCTGGCTTATTCTTGAGGTCATTGGAATCTCCAGAGTGATGAGTGGACTCAGTGTTTTGAGTTTTCTTAGCTTGTACTCCACCACTTGAGCCATACTGCCAGCACAGCTTTCTCGTGGCTGATTCAAGGAAAAGTTACAGACTTTTCTTTCCCTGAATTCTGACTTTCCAGGTCTCAGCCTCCTGAGTAACTAGGATTACTGGTGTGAACCACCAGTGCCAAGCTGTTTATTTGTATTTTCTTTAAATTCATTTAACTATTGTTTTTAAAGTAGGAGCTGCCAATTTATGCATGACCTCCCCGCAGCGCCCCCGCCCCTCCAGTGGGGAAGACCCCAGGTGAAGTTTTAGGGATACAGGTTTCCAAGAAGACCCAGAGAAGAAGGTGGGCTTCTTGGGGTGGGGGTGGGCCTTCAGTAAATATAATGAAATACTTTGTGAAGAGTTGGTAATTGGAAAAACAATGTTTTCCCTACCCCTGAATACAACTGTAGCTGTGTTCTGTTGTTACACTTTGCTTGTTTATTCTGCTCCACATGACTTGTGATCTCAGCAGGTTAAGTTTAGAATTTTATTAGGCAATAAAGGAAATGTTGAGGAAATGGTATTTTTGTTGTCATATGGGTCACACGGGTATGATTTGAAATCCATTGTGATTCAAACAGGTTTGATTTATTTTGTGTTGTTGCTTGACTGTTTTATAGCTTATTGCTCTGGTTTGAATGTGTCCCTCTAGAGCTCATGTGTTGGAAATTTAATCCCCAGAGCAACAGTGTTGAGAGGTAGAACCTTAAAGAGGTAATTAGGTATGAAGGCTGTGTCCTATGAATGGATTAATGCTATTATTATGGGAATGAGTTTGTTATAAAAGTGAGTTTGACACCCACCCCCATAACAGGATTTGAAATCAGGGCTTTGGACTTGGTCAGCTAGTGCTCTACCAGCTAGAGCTATGCCTCCAGCCCAGCTTTTCACTGGTTATTGTGGATGTATAATTTTTCTTAGATTTTTCTGCTCCTATTGGCTTTGAACCATATACTCTGGCTCTTAGCCTTCTACATAGCTCAGATTATAAGCGTGTGCCACAGGTGCCCAGTGAATTTAGCCCTCTCTTACTGTCTTACCTTCCATTGAAGGATGATACAGCAAGAAGCCCCTCACCAGATGTTGTTGGCACATCTTTGTCTCCCAGCATTTGGAACTGTGGAAAAAAAGTACCTTTTTCATTAGTTTCCCCTCTCCCCTAGCCAGACAGGTTCTCACTATGCAGCTCATGCTGGTATTAAACTTGGGATCCTCCTGCCTCAGCTTTCCAAGTGTTAGGATTACAGGAATATGCTGTCACACCTAGTAATCAGTAACTTTTCATAGAAATTATTCAGGGTGTGGTATTCTGTTACAGCAACACAAAATGGACTAAGACAGTTAATAACTCTGGTGAATGACTTAGATAATAAAAGGCTCAGAATGGAGATTCATTCTTTCCTTTCTCCCTCCTCCCATTTTTCTTTAATTCCCCTTTATAAACCAGGTTTAAAATAGCTTTCAATTTAGCTGCCTTGAATTTGTCCTGTGTCTAATTTTTTTTTTTGTCAGTTGTGGGGCTTGAACTCAGGGCCTAGGTACTGTCCCTGAGTCTCTTTGTGCTCAAGGCTAGCGCTCTACCACTTGAGCCACAGCACCACTTCAGTTTTTGAGTGGTTAACTGGAGATAAGAATCTCATGGGAAGCCAGGCGCTGGTGGCTCACGCCTGTAATCCTAGCTACTCAGGAGGCTGAGATCTGAGAATCGAGGTTCAAAGCCAGCCCGGGCAGGAAAGACTGTGAGACTCCTATCTCCAATAAACCACTAGAAAACCGGAAGTGGCGCTGTAGCTCAAGTGGTAGAGCGCTCGCCTTGAGCTGAAGATCTGAGAAACAGTGCCCAGGCCCAGAGTTCAAGCCCCAGGACCGACAAAAAAAAAGAATCTCATGGGAACTTTTCTGCCTAGGCCAGATTTGAACCACAATCCTCAGATCTCAGCTTCCTGAGTAGCTAGGATTACAGGCATGAACCATTGCCATCTGCCTTTTAAAAAATTTTTTTTATTGTTAGTATAAAGGTGATGTCTATTTTAGTTTGTGACCTAACAACCCAGCATTGGTGATGCTCTTGTTATACCACAAATCAGTACACACAGTGTGTACACACACCACACACTCACACTATACATATTATATAACCATATATTTTTTCTTGGAAAAGGTAGAGGTAAATGTCCCTGTCCACAGATCTGTATAGATGCCCCTATTATATCCACGGAGATGAGTTTATATGTGAACTTGTTAGGTCAAGGGTAAGGCATTTAGTACTCTTTAATGCTTGCTATCAAATCACCTTCCAGAAAGTCACTCTGGCTGGACTTGGGGGTTATGTCTGTAACTCTAGCTACTGGCTTCAAATCCCACATCCACAGGATATGACCATCTGATTTGAAGCCAGCTAGGGCAAGAAAGTCTGTGAGACTCTTATCTCCAATAAACTACTCAAAAAAAAGCTGGAAGGAGAGCCATGGTTCAAGTGGTAGAGCCCTAACCTTGAGCACAAAAGACCAGGGACAGCACCCAG